CAGACACGTAGTTTCACCTATAGGCACTTTCGCCACACCTGATGCTCGATTCGATCATGTACACACTGACATTGTTGGACCTTGACCACCGTCACAGGGGTATACGCATATACTTGCATGCGTTGACAGGTTTACAAGATGGCCAGAAGCCATTCCCATCTCTACCGTCAAGGCCGAAACAGTGGCTATACAATTTGTAGAACGATGGGTAGCTTTATACGGTTGTCCCTCTACGGTTACCCTCGACAGGGAACGACAATTTGAGTCCGATCTTTTTCCTCATTAACGCCGGGTACGGAACGCACTTGAACCACAGTCTAACATCCAGCACCTAATGGTTTAATCGAGCGTTTTCACCACCAAATTAAGGCTGCCCTAAGGGCACGCGATAATTCTAATTGGCATCAAACGCTACCTCCAGTTCGGCTCGGGATCAGAACTTGTGAAAAGGTAGATATCCAATCTTCCGCCGCTGAACTTGTCTTCTGCAAGACATTGAGAATGCCTGGGGAATTCTTTACGCCACGGAGTAGTGTCAACATACGCATACCGAAATACGTTCAACGTTTGTCCACCTTCATGTAGACACCGTCTCTGGCGAAAACACGAAATGTCATTCTGCTCGCAAGTATTCGTACGAGTTGGTTCGGTGCGCAAACCTTTACAACAGCCATACCATGAATCTTTCGTGACATTTCACGTCACGATAAGACCTTCAAGGTTGATCGACATGGCCGTGTCGATACGATTAGCATAGATGGTCTTAAAGCAGCATACATTGACGAAAACGTTATGCACGCTAACACTAAACTTGCTGCTAATACCTCTCAGCCTCTGAACGAGACACCAGTCTCACGTTCAGGCTCGCATTATTCTTCCGCTGCACCAGCTTTAGACGAAGCATCTCCTTCACGCCTTAGCTGGCAGCCTCCACAACTTGCCACGACTCCGAATGAGGTTTCACCCTCACATTCGAGCCGGCAACCACCACTTCCCGCCACGGTTTTGGATGAGGCACTCGCTTCGCATTCAGATCGGCAACCTCGCACAATGGTTACGACTTCGGACGTGACCCCAATTTCATGTCCAAGTCCACCCCATGCAGCTTTGTCTCGACCATCGAAAGAGAATTCCCTCTCACGTTCTGGTCGAAGGATCGTTTTGTCGGCACGTTTTCGAACGTAGGTGAAACTCTATCCTAGAACATTGCACAGCAATACCATTGCATCGACTGATACCACCAGTTGTACTCGATATTTGTTTAGCATTTATATTGTTGTTTGGTACTGAAAGCATACGCATTTGCCTATCTGCGGTTGCTACATCACGTGTTTTTCTCTTTTCATTTTCATATTCACCGAGCCTCATACGTGCCCTGGCTATTGCATTCTTGGTCCAACGTATTCTGCACGAATTCTGGTTCCAAATATGTCGCCGCCGACTCAGCAGATTATCCACGAATTCAACGGCATGACCTTTCAGCCACGTGTGATTCCGGTTACCTCAGTCAACAGCGTATGTACCTTGGCTCGGGCGTAGTACGCCAACTGCTCAACCCAGAACGCAATTCTCGCTGGTATTCTGTCCCGATCCCGATCACGGCAACGCATCTGACTCGACATTGAGTACCTTACTCCACTGTTCCACTGCCCTCGATGCTGTCCCGACCGCGAACGTTACGTACCTACTAGGAACTTTTGTGAACATCATGCACATCACGATCCTTGTCTTACCATCACCAAAAGTTGTTTCACACTTTCTACCGGGGCTGCTGTAGCTTGACCGATTGTACGGTGAAAGCCGGACAGTAGCAGACATCTGCCGGACACCACTTTTTATCTACAATCTAAATGTAGGTTCACATTTTTACTTCAGTACCAACGCCACGTGACGTTTGTTTTATACGATCGAAAACTGCTGTATCCTTCCGCGAAGGGAACTTTCACATTTCGCTTTCGCTCCGCTTTGCTCGTTGGTTCTCGTGCCTTCGTGCTTCAACGCAAACGCTCGTTAGCCGGTACTTTCTCTGTGCCACGGTACCTCAATAAACGTCTACAACAACCACAAGTCTTCTGGTTTAACCAGCGGTAACTTGGTTGTATTACGAGCTCGGGGTTCCCGTTCTAAAGCGCGTCACGGCCAGCCGTAGTCGACGTTTCGCCATATCCATTGCAAATCACGTGAGTTGGATTAGAGCATAGCGGAAGTATAAATCGATGACTGTCTGTGATTTGAATGTGAATGTTCTAATGCACGCTGAGTTTCACCAATGGGAAGTAATATAGACATTTTGACCAAATATAAAAATCTCAAGAGCCCTGCAATCCCGACCTGTCTAAAAGTATGCGGAGAAGAGTTGCTTAACAGGGTGAAAGCAGGTCAATTCCGTGTACTCCCTTCATGTTGGTCAAGTCTGCTCATTAGTGCAACCGAATTAAGACAGAACAATCTGACGGATTTGCAAAATTTCTTGGACGAGTTTGGCTCGGACAACAAATTTATATCAGGTTTGACAGAGAACTATCGAAACTTATCGGAATGTATTGGTTTACCGACACAGAAAATCTTTGCGGCATTCTGGGAATTTCTGACGCGTTGCCAACAGAGTTTAAACGTACAAATCTCCTATCCGTCCTACGGTTGGGTCATCTTGGGCCCACCATACCTTAATCCATTCGATAGCTTTGACGAGGCTCAGTTTGCCAAGGAGGTCAATGCATTGCTCGAGACAATACTGGAGCAGGGATTAGTAAAACGTGACATACTGTGTTACGTCATGCGAGTTTTTGCTGAACTGGTACAGAGTGCAACAGAATACTGCCGAGATAAACCGGCATTAGCTTGTATTATTCGCTATCAGATAGCCAATCAATTCGGACCGATTCTATTTACCGTGACATGCGAACGATGCAAAGCCCCCTTATCTGATAAAAATCGTTCGTGTGAGTACTGTATCACAGTAGCCGGTCTTTTGCAGAAACCGTTCGCCGCAGATTTAGTGGATCGCTTATTGCGTCACTTTAGCACGGAATTCTGGGACAAAGCGCTAACTGTTACTCAAAGAACAGGAAGTTTTGTACCGAGTGATCCGGAAAAAACACATGCCGATATTACCGGTTTATTTTACAAAAAGAAGGCAACAGTAAAAGCAAAATCGGTACCACCATTCCCGACTCCGAACTTGCAGAAAAACAGGGGCTTATCAGCTCCTGCTGCTAACATACCCGTTCCCACTGGCACTCCACCTCAAACAGCGAACAAAGAAACAACCACACAACGGACATCCTATGCAGCAAACGCCCCAGCGCCTCCCGTAGCCGAGCAGTCGTCCAAGGACCAAAGACCGGAAGAAAGGCAATCAACTCCGACCGTAAACACCTTTACTACATCGACAGAAACGAGCAGTGTGGAAAACCCCTGGGGACTGTCAACGCTCAAAAGACCGGCCATCAAGAAACAGAAGAATAAAGCCAGTCGTCGAAGCACAACAGGCTCCAAAGGGACGCAAGGACGGAGAAGAACTACAACCACAGCCGGAAACCACAAACAACGATCGACAATTAAGTCCGTTTCCTCAAGAAGGGCAACCAATTCCAGAAAGCGAACTGGATCAAAGGGTCGCTAATGAGTATGCATTAGTTTTACCGGTAGAGAACGGAGGAACATGTCTGAGGCAAACCTGCACCACAAATCGCAACAAACGGTAAATAGTCGAAAAAGTCAAACGATCGTGAGCATGCAGGCATTCTTGATTAGTATTTTTTTGATGTTTCTCAATTGCAACAAAACAGATACCTGCTATCACAAACTGGTCGTGGATGATTGTTACTCATAAAAAACTAGCAAATTTTACAATGAAAACAATGAGCGCTTAGAAGGTTCTCTGAAAAATATTATATACAAGGTATTAATGGAATCCAAACCGAAGAATTCTGTCATCTGAGATAAGGCGTCATATGCGGAGAGGGCTCAACATTATCTAATGTCCTAGCAAGACCTAGTCCTTCACGTGGTACGATACAGTTAAAGTAACCAAATATGCAGCGTGACGTCAGAGGTTATGAATGACTTGGGCCTCATATATGAAGCCGGACTGAATACTACCTGTTATACCCCTAAATTGTGGGAATATCCTCGTCGAAAGAGATTACCTGGAATAAACTGTGGCTTGTACAGAATCAACGGTTAGCGGCCCACATATATTTTCGGAATCCGTTGGACCACCAGATACTCGTATATTTCATTCTATTCACTCATATTTGACCGATCACAAATCACACCACATCATCCTATTTTTTATTCTGTCATCATGAGTTTGCGGTCATATCTGTGTTAGGCTATGTGCAATAAAATACTTAGGTAAGAGGTTCATTGAGCATAAATATCAGGTACAGCAGAGTGCACCAATGAAGCGATCGAGAAATAAAAACTTACAGGTGACTTCCCAAAGCCACATTTGACTCGAAACTTGACGCACAAACACTGACCTGATGAGCGTAGATAGAACATAAAATAAGTTCGGTCTTATAATACGAATGTGACCTGATATAATAGGGATAAATTGAAAGAAACTGGGACTGAGTAAGCACTTAAGATTGAATCATGGACAGACGTCGAACGACAAAGCAAAGGTCGGCAATAACTTAGTGACAGCGTCACCTTCAGTAAAAAATAAACACTCGAGCCCGTACACCAATTTCATGAGGATGGAGAGGAATAATGGTGCCATTCTGCTACGAACAAAAGGACTAGATGTATCAAAGTTCAATGCCAAACGTCAAACTAAAATGACTCTTCCCGTAATCCATGGAAAGGCAAGACGCGGAAGAAGCGATGCATATGAAAATTTATTTGTCAAGAGAATCAAACATCTACAAGAGACAGATATGGTTTTCAAATGAAATGGGAGCATGTCAGTGAGGCAACATTTCGTTTGCAATTCAGTCCGTTAAACCGATAACCCCACAAGCCAAACGTCCGCCAGCGTTACCGGTAGTTTTACTCTGTTCGTGTCCACCACGACCAAGATCATCTTCATTCTCATGTACCTAGAAAAACAAAAAGAACAGGAAGGAACCATGAGACAGTTTGTCTTGTTTCTTGAACCAAATCTAAAAAGCAAGTTCCGACAATACACGTCACATATTGGGAGGAAAAGACGGTGACCCATAATTGAGAATAAGAGAACATAATTGAAATGCATTACTGCCGTCGTCTGGCTGAGTAGTACACCTGTAATATGGATATTTTCATGTGATTTGTTTCTCGGTANGTTTTTCACTGTGTATGCTTTAGATAAGTAGCACATAAACAAAAACGATAGTGAACTGAATGACCGAGAACCCATACCCCTAGTTCTGAAGTTGATCTACAGATATAGATTGCACAATTAACCGCGACGAACAGTTATGCGCGAGTTTCCTATTCACGTGAATCCACTGAGTTCAGTGGTGAAAGCCAGAAACCTAAGCAACTGGGATGAAGAACCAGATAATTCAGGCCCCGAGAATGAGGTTACCCAGTATTTCCCCTAAGGCATATCTTTATTATTCAGCGAGAGTTGGCCGCTTCACGCAGAAGACGTACGGGGACNACCGTTGCCTTCGTTGCATCGCCAGAGTACGCTGGCAACAGCGAATCATCAACGATGAGGTTCACCGAAGAACCTTCGCCTCAGATTAACTTAATTGTCCCTTGAGCGCCACCATCTACCTCGATGACTGGGACGTGTTGCGGTTCAACGACTGTCCCAACACGGACACTAACCGGAAGCGGCCACGAGGTGAACAGAAGCCTTTGGGTAACGAAAACTCGACTGAAATGGCAGAGGGGTAGTTCGGCAATCATTGTTTAATAAAGGCGGTGCGGAATCAGACAGAGCATGTTGATTGTAAACAGTACTGTTAATCTCTCTACTCCCGAGAATTAAAATCGTGACCTCACACAAGTTTGATCAGGAGGAAGCTGACAAGAATGAATTATTTTGCGTATGCAAAATACGACCAGTGGGCTACATGGCTTCAACATTCACTTAAAGCCGAAGTATTCAAAAATTATCATTTTCTCATAACGGAATCAAGTAAGGGGAATTCGTCGTGCATACAACAAATGAAACGTGAACTGAAAAGCTAGAACAGCTGTTTCTACCCCGTTGGGTTTCATCAACTGTGTGAATTCATTGACCCAACTGCAGATTGAGCCCGGGACCTCACCGTTGATTCCTAGCAGTTTCGCGCGTGATTCGCTCTAGACACGATGAATTCCCCTCCCCCCCCCCCCTTGAGATTGAATTAAAACCTCCATTACTCTCGTGCAAAATCAAGTGAAAATATCAAGGGAGCGGAAATGCTTACCACCATAGCTCTTCCGACGATAGAATTGACACCGGATAGCGAAATAATATTGTCAGTGAACTCAGCGTGAGCTTTCCCGCTTTGGTCTGCCTCGACATTGCCCAAGTCACCCACGTGACGAATCTTATCTGTGGGTGCTCCGTGATCTACATTAGTTGGGTTGAAATGAGCGCCGGCAGAGATACAGCCATTAGTGGTATCTCCGTAGGCATGCACATGAAATCCATGCTTTCCTGGCTTTAGGCCTGTTATGTCAACAGTTACTTTGACTGGGGCGTTTTCGGACTGGAAAAGAAAACAAACATTGGATTCACGCAACACATCTACAGTACGGTTTCGCCAATTTGAGAAGCAGCTTAAGTATTCCAACACTTGTGAACAAAGACAATTAGAAAAGCACTGTAATTGGGGTTACCCCCATCAGTGAGCAATAAGCAATAGCAAATTGGTAATGTCTACTATATTACCTTGAGTCTAGCTCCTTTTGTGATCTATAAAGTACCTACAAAGGCAAGATTAAGATACTGACTTAATTGGTTTGAAATGCGTGCATAGTTCTTTTGATTGAATATGATAAGGTGATAAATAAACGTTTAAAACTGCGGCAATCAAAACCAACAGGACTGGGGAAAAATCGTATTGTGGGAAGAAATGTCCAATTCTGGTCAACTTGGGTTGTACAATAACCTGTGTCGTGTTTACCCACAAGGAGAAACGGATCTCATAATAAGTTGACACTTCTTATTTGTTCCTAAGAAGCCACCGGTAAGTTTGTAGAAACTGGTAAACGATGAGCTTGATGAAAGCAGTTTGCATTATTAACTTGCCTCCGAAAGCCTTAGTAAGGTCGGGGGTGGTTGTCTAGGATTGCGGTCACCCATCCCCTGCACCTAGCGAAATGCACCCATACGACCAAGCGTCTCAAACAGCCTCCGCTAGGGAAGCCCTACGCACTGCCTTCTCGTGGCGGTGTTTTCCCACCAAAGTGAGAGGACTAATAGCTAACATCCGGGGCTTTAACCGGGTTGGTGGACCACTGGTAGTTCATCTAGGGGAGTTAGTCAAAAACCCTGATTCCAAACCATCCACACACACCTTCCCGGTTTTGGCAGTGGTCACCGGCCTTCAATGGAACTCGGTTTTCACACGTCACCCTGCTGCCTTGCGGGTCAGGCTTTGGCCAGCCGAAGGCTCCTGCTGCGGATTCCTCAAAGAAATTTACCTGCCTTGACCGGGGCAACCTGGCAGTATTCAGTCCATATGAAAATTATGGAACGTTCTTTTTCATAAAGATTATTGTATATATTTCATACATGTCTGAGGACAGACTGTGCCAAACGAATCATGGTACAAATATTTTTATAAAGAAGAAGAGGTTTCACGATTGGCTTGTGAGCTGAATACTGCCAGGTTGCCCAGGCCAATGCAGGTGAANTGATCCGCAAGACAGCGGGGCGGTGTGTGAAAACTACAATCCATTGTGGGCTGGAGTCCAGTTCATCGGATCATTCGCCTTTCGGACGGGGTCAAACGTTCAAGGTGCCCAATACACCTCGATGCCCAATCCAGCCGGTGACCACGGCCACAACTGATTCGTACGCCTTCTATTGGTTGGTTAGGAATCAGGGCTTTTGGCCAAATCCCCTAGGTGAACTATCAGTGGTCCACCAACCCGGTTATAGCCCCGGATGTTAGCTATTAGTCCTCTCACTTTGGTGGGAAAACACCGCCACGAGAAGGCAGTGAGTAGGGCTTCATCAGCGGAGGCTATTTGAGAAGCTTGGTCGTATGGGAGCATTTCGCGAGGTGCAAGGGAAGGCTGACTAGCCGCAACCCTGGACACCCACCCCCAGGATCTGCAGACGATCGTACTATAAGTTACGTCTCAGATGGAAATGNCGCCCTGCCTCTAATAAGGTCCGAGTCTAACCGAACACTTCTCCACCAGCTGAGGCTCTCTTCCGTCGTCGATGCCCGTTCGAACTAGCCATATTTAACGTGTGTACCATGCTGCGTGCAGGACAACAGGCATGTTCAGCTTATACCCTCGAGACCCTAGCCATCGTTGTGTTGTTTCTAAGAAACTCGTATTCAAGACTCCAACCCGCCCTCCGGTTGAAATCCCCATCAAACCCTCCCGAGAAGTTTCACTTACGTCCTTCTGGGGACCCTGAGGCTGCGGTTTCTGGTCTTGCTGGCGTTGACGTGGCTCTCAGTGAGAACTGAAGCCACGCTCCTAGATTGGATCCGTCGATAGTAGGCTATGCGCAATGAGACTTAAAGGCTCGTGAAAAGCAAGCAGTCGTCACTCCGAAAGACGTAGCTAGTCTGTCGTCTCAGCGTACGCTACAGTCAAAGATTCGTTATACCAAAAGCTGCGCTACCTCTTGTGTAAAGCGAATCGAGCTGATATCGTGATTTTAGCAGCAGATGTGAATGCTAGAGTAGGCCGGCTGTCTTCGAATGAGGCGCATTTGTCCGGACTGGAATCCTGTAGCTCGGAAAACAGCTATTGGCTATAAGTTCCGACCACCGCCNCAGACGATCCAACTACCGTTACGCCGCTTGGCGTCCAGCTTCCTCGAGTTAGCGACAGACGCACCACATTGCTATAGGGTGGTGGTGGCGCAGTGGTTTAGTCGGTCATAGGTGTGCTTTGGAACCTATGGTCCGAGGTTCGAGCCCCAACACCACCACCCAACTTTGCTGTCGTCCGGTCCAAAACAACACGTAACCTATCGGGGCCTTATGTTGTTCGCTACTCCGAGTCCCGGGGATTAGGTTACCGGATTCCATCACTGAACAGCAAGTCCTCGTGACCATGGGGCTTTCTCCGTCTGCTGTTCATCATAGGAAATTCTGCAGTAAAAAAGCCGCAAATTGCGGGATCGCATACAAGACTGCCGCTCGGACTGTAGCACTTCCTTCGAGTCCGATCACGCATTAGTTAGCGCCAAGCTGTTTATGTGCTTCGGTGGGTGTTCTAAACGCACGACACAGCGACGGTTAGACTGCAATGAGTTGTCACAACCAGCATACCTAGACGTCTTTCAGAACGCGTAGGCTGAAAAGCTAGAACCAACCACGCCTGATACCATGTCAGCACTGATCGCTTATAAAGAATGCTCTGCTTTTGGCTGGTTTAATCAATTGTGCTCTGACACGTCGTGTCGTGACACCCTGGGTGTCCGCTGAATCGCTGTGCCTTCTTGAGGCACATCGGTCACTCCCGACCGGCAGCGAGCACAACGTAACGACTTGTAACGAGACGTGAGTCCACGCAGAGATCGCGAAATCCGGTCTTGACGCACATCAGAGATGGAACGTGCTGTTGCCATGGAAAATTCCCGTAAACTGTTCTATCTCATTTGAGTCACCAGTGGAAAAGCTTTGGGTGTGAGCGAAACGATCCCTGACGATCCGCGGCTCCCTTATTCGCAATCAACAGCGGCTTCTTACACGCCGGGCCGAGCACTGCAAGACACTTTAACCGACCACCAGCATCAGCTTCTCACAGCCATTCCGGCACATGTTACATCGTTTGTCTCAAGAGATCCACCGTCTGAGGTGGAAATCCGTAAGGAGATCCAAACCTTCGGGTGTCACAGCGACGGGCTTTGATGGCCTTCCCCCAGTTCTATTTAAAGATGGTGGAATCGATTGACGTTCCCATCTTTAAAAAGGGCCCGCGCAGTGACCGCGCCAATCATAGGGATACAAGTCTGATCCCAATAGCGTCAAAGCTGTTGGCGTCCGTCATTCTCCGCCGATTGTACACTATGCGTGAGGAGCAGGCTGGGCTTCGCGCCGGTCGTGGATGCATCGATCAAATCTTCACACCCGATAGCTGCTAGAGCACCGTCATGCTTACCATAGACCAACGATTATTGTTCTTAAACACTCGTGCGGCCTTCGATACTGTCAATGGAAGTGTTCTATGGAACTGTTCCTTTA